AACAGATGGTCGAAAGTGCAGGAAGACGCTCGCTGCCCAAGTAGCAAAAGCAGTTTAAGCAGCAACGGCAGCAACGCCAAAGGCAACATCGATTAAAAAACGACTTAATATCCAGTCTACGAATCTCGCGAGAATTTAGACTCATCGAGTTTGTCTATGCTGTCAGAGATATCCTAGATAGAATGTGTAAGAAAGCGTCAAAGTTCGAAAAAGAAATTTTAAATATTGGCCGTCGTATAGTTCACGTTCTCTCGAATATGCAGAATGTGGTTATTTCACGTTGTTGTTTTGTGACCTTTTTGTAAACAACGGCAAAGAAATGAACAAAGAATTATAACGCACGCTTACACAGCCATTGTATTAGTTACCGTTGCCGCTAAAGTGTGCATAATTAAGCTCCCAAAAACCGAATAAACGGCGAAATAATGAACAGCTAAACGAACACAAAATAAACGAAAGGCCGGCCAAACAAAAAGACAGCTGAGAGTGCAGAAAACATCTCTGCTATGAAACGAAATCAAAACATATAAAATGGCGTTCCCGCATCAACACAGCGGTCAAATGTCTGCGCATGTGCAAGCAATGCAGTAACTGAAAGGCGGCCAAAATATTTTTATGTTATTATATGGCAAGCTCCGCGAGCGGGCAAGATGAATCAAATCCTGCGCTGTGATTGGCTACCCGAGCGGNGGTCAAGATGGCTGGATATTGGCCTCGTTCTTTTTTTGCGAGTTTATGGACCTCGACTCCGTCTCGGTCCATAAACTCGCAAAAAAAAAGAACTTGGCCAATATCCAGCCATCTTGTCCTCATTCTTGGTCAATAACCCATATATTGTTCTTTTCGTGGGTCATCGGCATCCTATAAATGACATTTTCCTCGTTATTTATATATTTATATATATTTTTTTATGTTTTAGCCTGTACAACGAGAGCTAACGGAAATAAGAGTTAAAAATTGTTGTACCTTCTGCTTGTTGCAGGTCTTTCTTTTCCGCGGTATATATTTACCGTGCTCCCTGAATTTTTTGTCCGCCTCGACTTTGTATTTAGTGCACCAGTTTTTCCCAGGTTTGTAGTTTAGAAAAGATTTTCCCACCTGGTCAAAGACCAGGTACGGGCTGTTTGGGATCGGTATTTTGGTTAGCTATGACCCCATGACAATGGACATGAACATCGTTTGTCGTTTCGATTCATCTCGTTCCTGTGCTTTAGACAAATTAGTCCAATCTCCGGATGGAATCCCCACAGTCCTTGTCAGAATTTTTCCAGCNTCTGCTTATTCAATTTTACCTAGAGTTTGCGAACCAAGGGTAGGAGGCAAACCCTTCAAGTTCTACACGACGACTCTTTTTTGCGTTCTGTTTACATTTTACATGAACGGCGATACGGCCTGGGTTCGAAACTGTATCTTAGCAACGCGCTGAGCATGCTCAATAAGAACTGGACACGATTCGTGCAGAGTCTTTTCTCGGTACAAAGCATATGTACCGTAAGAAAAGGCTCTGCTTGCAGGGTGATCCGAAGCATGTTGTTGACGGTTTTTAAAAGAGCAGTGAAAAATAAGCAAAGTTCCCTCTCAATTAGCATCTCATGCTCATAGAAGTTCAGATGATAGCGACGAAGCATTGGTCAGGCAGGATCTCTGGCAAACAACTTGCTTCACTTTCAAAATAACGTCTGAAAAGCAGCGCAACATTCACCTCCGTAGACCGTGTTGACAAAATTTAAGTTGAGGACCCCCCTCTGTGCGACTTTGGTTGGCATACGTGTCCAGCCAACCAGGGGACTTTCTCGAGGGAGGAAGAGAGACGACCCTGGGAACGAGGTTGCTATGACGAAAGTGAAAACAGTGTGGTACGGTTGTGTTGTTACAGTTACAGTAACTATTGCTTAAAAGCGACGGCACTTAAATGTTATCTGCCGCAAGCGTGTGTCGGACGTAGGCGATGACATCTATTAGTAGCTGTGTTTAGTACTAATATTTGTATTTTTGTGAGACCCCTGCCTTGGTGGCTGCTATTTAACGAGCTGGTGAATAAAGCTTGTCATTATTCGTTAATCGTATACAGGTAAAAGATAATGAAATTGTGGATTTAGGAAGTCAGGACCGCGTCCGTTATATACAGCTGACCGTTATATGCAGGTCAACTTAACAGTAAATATAAGGGACGATTTTTGGGAAGTTGTTCAGTGACCGTTATACACAGGGTGACCGCTATATACAGGGCCGTTATGTACAGGTTTGACTGTAGTCATTAACAACAGTTGTAAGTTTTCAACAATAACAATGTTTCTCTTCAGAACAACAAGGTTCAATGTCACCTTCTCAATGACGTGCTGTAGAAACCCACTGGCCTTCTGGAATTTTCATTTATTTGGTCTTAAAAACTTTTTGTTCCGCTATCCTTTCATCCTACTCGCTCTTCCCCTAACGCATTACTCCCTCAACCCTCCTTCCCTGCTCACGCCATGTTAGGAGACTGAAAAGGGCGAGAGAGAAAAAAAAGACGAAGGACGGGGCCCAAAGCCTTTTACTCTCGCAGCGTTTTTTGCGCTGCTCCCGGCGAACTAGCCGTACACCCTGGCTATTAACACTGTTGTTCATCCAACGCAACTTTTGCTTTTCTTCGCCTCGAAGAGCATCGCGTTTGTTAGAAAATGCAATAAAAAGAGCACTGGTATATTTCCGAGTTACCTTGTACCTCTGTTTCAAAACGAATCCTCGTGCAAAACCTTCCATATGACAGAGGCAAAAGGCAACCCGAAAATGGTTTATCACAAGCCTATCCCTAGGTGGTTCATTCCTACTTCATTCTCTATGAATGTGCGCCGTACGAAGCCTAACTTTTCACGCTATCATGCTCTGTCTTTCAAGTACGGGATTTCGAAAATTACAATTGTTTTGGAGCGGTCGTTTTGATCTGAAGAATGCGTGCACGGTGTATAGGTTCCGTCGCATTTTCGTCCCCAGTGCTACTCGTCTTAAAATGTCGCCGACCACGTGAACAAAGAAGGTCGGAATTTCCACCCAGAATCGTTGGTCCTACTAACCAGCAGTCAATCTCGTTCCCAGAGCCTGCGTTACCCTTGTCCGGCGGAACGGGAAGGGCAACGCGGGCTCTGGGCATAGGGACGTACGGAATACAGCGGTCAAACGTCTGCGCATGTGTGAGCAATGGAGCAACTAAAAGGCGGCCAAATAATAATAATAATAATAAACGAATCTTTAGACAGGATTAACCCATCAGTACTATAAAGTACTGTTAGTGCACCAGTAAAGTGCACCCATCAGTACTATAAAGTGCTGTTAGTGCACCAGATTTAAATATTTTCATGACACTGTTCTTTTCGTGGGTCATCGGTATCCTATAAATGATATTTTCCTCGTTACTTGTATATTTGTTTATGTTTTAGCCGGTACAACGAGAGCTAACAGAAATGACTTGAGAGTTAAAAATTGTTCTACCTNCCTGGTCAAAGACCAGGTACAGGCGGTTTGGGATCGGTATTTTGGTCAGCTATGCCCCCATGACGATGGACATGAACTTCGTTTGTCGTTTCGATTCATTTCGTTCCTGTGCTTCAAACAAATCAAGGATCCGGATGGAATCCCCACTTTCCTTGCCCAAATTTTTCCAGCTCGTCTGAGCGAAGCCGAATCACTGCAATTGTCTTTTTCTTCTCCCATTTTCCTTCTTTTACACATCGTTTGTCGTCCGTTTCCGACGTCACGCATCGTATGATTAATAAAAACAAATAAAAATATACTACGCCGTCGGCTCCTAGCATGACACGGGTTTTAAGACTTGTAAACGTTTTTGGTAAAGCTCAAA